TTAAAATCTCGATATAGTGGATTAATAAATAGCTATATATAACAATAATAAATTCTGTTCGATATACGTAGTGGTACTGCATTTCAAATTTACCTATCGCTATCATTTAGGCCAGTGCGATAAAAAAAGCGTAGATTGTAGAAGACCCGGTGTATAATTAACCAATCAACAATGAAAATTATTTGTGTTCAATTAGAACTTGGAAAGGAGGGAAATTAGTAAATGTGATAATGTTATAGTATGAAAAGAAACTATTCTAGTTCAGTAAAAAAAGTGTTGGATCATGTGATCTGAAATATGTTCATTAAAATATCTGATTAAATATTAAATATTTAGTATTATAATTAGATTTAAAGTTAATCAAGGTTATATATAAAATTATCTTTCTGATATTTTTTTAATAGTATATCAAATTAGATTTAGATATTTGTTTTTTGTATTTTTTGCATTTTTTATCTTTTTTATTTTCTTGTATCAGATTTGTTTTGTTAGATTAATCAAAAATTTGCTATATTATTATTGATTATATATAATTTTACATATTTTTATTGGTTGAATTGGTTCATCATCACATGATCTGATATTTTTTGCTGTAACTAGAATATTTATGAAAAGAATTAAGATTTGAATTTGAATCAAGATTATTTAACAAAAAAATGTATTATAATAAAATTTTGCAAGAAATATTTTTTATTAGAATACAAATATATTAATCTTGTAATTTAATAATTATTATATAATTTAAACTTTTAGAATCATTCTAATGAATTTTTTGTATTGTAATTTGATCTAGCAAAATTTAACAAGAATTCTTGTCAACAAAAAATATTAAATATTCACTAACAATACTATAATATTATTTAATACATTCAATTAAAACAAATATTATTTGTATTTGATCACAAAAATTGGTTGAATATTAAAAGAAATATAAGTATTCAGAGTTGACTGATTTTTTTTGGCATTTTTCAAGATCATTAATATTGGTTAGAATTATAAAAGTTTTCCAATGTCCAGTTTTTTATATTGATTTTGCCATGATTGGTTCTAATAAATTCTTTAATGCTTTTTATTGATATTTTAAATGAAATAGGAATTTTGAATAGAAGTGATCTTGAAAAATCGATTTTAATAATATTAATAACAATCAAATAAAATGTTCAGTTTTTTTTTATTGTCAACCAGAAACACTGTAAAATTGTTTAATTAGTACTTTTAGTATGGATTTATTCAAAAAATGTCAAAGCTCATTGTTATTGATAAATTAACACTAGTATTTTTATTGACTATTCAATTTTGATCACATGATTGCAATTCGAATTGGATTACATATTACGAGCAATTATTTGGGTATATATGATGTATTTTTGCATTTACATTAACGGAAACAGTGTTGAATCACGTGATCTTAATACAAGAAAAGCAAAAATGTGTAGAATATGGAAAACAGATATCCAAATCTAGCTTAAATACTAATAAAATTGTCGAAAAAGCGATTTTACATATCTTTAGCTCTAATTCTAATTCTAATCCTAATCCAAACGATAAAATAACCTTTAACGTAATTTTTCTGTGATCACGTGTCATAAATTTTTGAAGGCCACGTGATCCAGCACTGTCCCGAAGCACTGTTCGTAGACTTCCCGTTAGTTAAACAGATGATCATCCAGGCGATTTATCAAACAGTATAACGGAATTATCCGTTCAAAAATCTGTTATCGAGTTTTAATTAAGAAATCCGTTATATCGAGAAGGATCCGTTCTGAACCTCAATCTACTATATCGAATTTTATTACGAAGCATCATTGTATATGACTTTCCTCACTAAGACATAATAGCATTAGATAATTACTAAATAGTCTATGATGATGTAAGGAGAGAATTCGAAAATCTTTATTTAATTATTATCAAATTATGCTAACTTTGTTGGTTTATATGTTAAGTACAAGCATACAAGCATTTTCACATTCAATGTATCAAAAAACCACATAGTTTTCTTATTCACACACTCTACTTCGATTCACAGAATAAATACGTAGCGTTCTTTATATGTTACATTTTTAACTCTCCGTTATAAAGATTAGGCCAAAAAATTACTGTGTAAAAAAACTGCACATGAACGCATACCAGATATTCAGACAATATCCATGGTATCTAAGAATTATTACAAGATTCAGACTTAGAATACTGAGAAAAAATTATTAATGCTAATTTTTTTGACCACGCTTAGTAAATTTGATGAATCGGTGAACAAGATATCGCTAAAATATTAAATCGTACAGTCAGAGCTCGATTTAACTTTAATGAAATCGCAAGTTAACGATTCTTGTTCTCAGATCACTATATTTAAATCACACTCAATTAATGATGCTTATTCTCTCGATTTACATTTTAGCGATATCTTACCGATTCATTGGTAAATTGAGCTTGACTGTAGACATCACTAAATATAGTGATCTGGAAACAGGAATCGTTAACTCGCGATTTCATTAAATCATACAGTCGTTAAATCGAGTCCTGAAATTTTTGATGTTTGTTTTTTGTGAATAAGAAAATGAACTTTTATGATACCTTCTACAGACTTAGTGGTTAAAGTGCCAAAAATGTTATGATACTATATAAAAGTAAAATTATCAAATGCTGTGTATAATTTCGCGGTATACGTAATTTTAATACTGTATATTGAATATCTAACATATGGGCTAAATGCAATAGAAACAGTGTAAATTATATTATAAATTCTAATATAATTTACACCGCTTCTATTGCACGTTTAATAGCAGAAAATCAAATAATAACAAAAAATCACAAACGAAATAAAGTAATACTAAACGGAGAAATTATTAATATTAAATTCAAAATCGATGACAAAACAAACGTGCTTACAAGATTGAAAAAATAATAAAATAATCAGATACCCATACATGTATTTTTTCTCGAAAATGATCTTTGATTATAATGATAACGCGGATCTGACATAATGCATGATTAGCGTTAGACTAACTACAAAATAAGATGCTGCACACGATCACCTATAGATATTATCCATCTCAAGAAATTCATCTTTCATCTCAAAACATCATCTTTTGATCAAAATCTGATATTGATAAATAATATATAAATACAGGATTTCATTTCAATCATCGTCAAAATTCAAATCACCAAAAAAGAATCAACATCAACAACTAAAAAAAAAATGGCATTATGGGGAGGTCGATTCACAGGCACCGTCGATCCACTAATGGACGCATTCAACGCTTCAATTCACTTTGACAAACGCATGTACGAAGCAGATATTCGTGGATCACAAGCATACGCAAAAGCACTAGTAAAACGTGAAATTATCACCGAACAAGAAGGCACGATGTTAATCACCGGACTAGAAAAAGTATTAGAAGAATGGCGTAATAATACGTTCGAGATTAAACCGGCCGACGAAGATATTCACACGGCTAATGAGCGACGATTGGGTGAACATGTTGGTAGCGTAGCTGGTAAATTACATACTGGGCGAAGTAGAAATGATCAAGTAGCTACGGATTTGCGGATTTGGACGAGAGAAGAGACGAGAAAGTTGTTGGGCTATTTGAAGCAGTTGATTGGAGTTCTTGTTGAAAGAGCAGAGAAAGAAGTTGATGTTTTGATGCCTGGATATACGCATTTACAAGTAATTATTGTATTTATATAAATTTATTTTGTGGATTATAAAATAAATTAAAATTATTATTATAAAATAAAGAGAGCACAACCAATTCGCTGGAGTCATTGGCTTTTAAGTTACGCGTGGAGTCTACAAGCAGACGCATTTCGTCTCTCGCAAATAATCGATCGATTGAATGTCCTTCCATTGGGAAGTGGAGCATTAGCTGGAAATCCATTCAACATCGATCGTGAATTCGTCGCTAAAGAATTGGGATTCAATGGCGTAATTCAAAATAGTCTTTACGGCGTCAGCGATCGTGACTTTGTTGCCGAAGTATTGTTCTGGGCGTCTGTGACAATGGTGCATATTAGTCGGCTATCTGAAGATTTGATTATTTATAGTTCGGGAGAGTTTGGATTCGTTACTCTTGCGGACGCTTATAGGTCGGTGTTTTTTTTTTTTTGCGTGTTCTTATTTGATAGTATTGTTTTTTGATCAACCGAAATTTGATTTTTTATTATAGCACTGGAAGTAGTTTAATGCCACAAAAGAAAAATCCGGATAGTTGTGAACTTTTACGCGGCAAATCTGGACGCGTATTTGGACAGGTATTTTTTTGATATATAAGAACATCGAAATTCCGATTTCTTATTAATAAATATCGCTTATACATTATTAGTTATCCGGATTCCTAATGACATACAAAGGTCTTCCAAGTACATACAACAAAGATTTTCAAGAGGATAAAGAACCATTGTTTGATGCTGTTGACACTTTAGCCGGATCATTACAAATCACTGCGGGGGTTATTTCGACTCTAAAGGTACTGTATTTCTTTTGTATTGAAATTGAAACTTTGTCCTTAATATCATTGACTAATGATTCTTATATTTGAAAGATTCACCCAGAGAAAATGCGGCAAAATCTAAGTATTGATATGTTGGCTACCGATTTAGCAGAATATCTTGTTCGAAAAGGGGTAAGCTATATTATAAATTTGAAATAAGTGTATGATGAACTTTAAATTCTCACTTAAATTTTAAAAAACAACACAGGTTCCATTCCGTGAAACCCATCATATCGCTGGTGCAGCAGTCCGCATAGCCGAAGAACGAAACACCACAATGAGTAACCTCTCACTATCAGACTTCAAACAACTTCACACCGCATTCGAAGAAGACGTGTCTGCCGTGTGGGATTTCGAAAAGAGTATTGAGAATCGGTCGAGTTTGGGCGGGACTAGTCGTGTTACGGTGGTTGCACAGATTAAAAAGTTGAAGAGTTGGTTGCTCGAGTGAATTAGATAAAATTGAATAGTTGTTTGCTTCTTTAATTGCATAGATGATTCTATTATTTTGATCGTTATCGTTATTAAATTTCTTTTACTCGTGAAACTTTCGTGTTGATCATGTCTTATCAATGTAACTTGTGCATGTTGTACATATACATGATTTGTTTGTTTCTTGCATACACAGCCCTCTTCCATATTTTTAAATAATTTATTTTTTTAACTTTTGTACACCCGAAAGGCCTCCATGGCGCAATCGGTTAGCGCGTTCGGCTGTTAACCGAAAGGATCCTGGTTCAAATCCAGGTGGGGGCGGCCCAAGGGTTAGGTAATTTTTTGTTCTTGAGATTGTTTGGTTTTTCTTTATACTATTAGTCTCAAATTTTTTATCTTTGGAAGCCGTGCGATACAAAATTGTTAAAAACATTAAAAATCTCATTTTCTGTTTTCTGGTTCTTCAAATATCCCCGATTAAAACTTAAATGCAATTAAACGAATCAATTTAATAAGAGCGCAGGGAATAATTCACAAGGGCGAATAATAAATAATAGTAATATTAGATTAATTCAGGTTTCTGAGCACACGATACACTATATAATATGCCTGTGACTCTACTCGCATACTGAACAAGTTTCTCGTAGTATTCTTTGTGTTTATAGGAACGCAGATATTAATGCTTGTAGATAGTCTTCGCGTATCTTTGTTTTGAAACTAATATTTGGGATTAATAGTTGAAAATTAAAGAACTCAATGAATGAAATAATGCGTACCATTTCCCCAGTTTTACCACCCCAATTATCAATCAGAGTATTTGTTCTCTTCGATTTGTACGCTCATTGGTCCGGCGTGCTTGAAGTCATTTACAAACCATCTGCTTGGATTGAGAACTTAATTTTGCGTTCACCAGATTAAAAAATTTATAAAAATTCAAGCAAAGAGCAAGATTAGCATATATTTTTGACGTTATCAAATGCAAATTGTCTTTTCTTTAACATGTTCTTGAGACATATAGTCCACCATAAATATGCATACAACTTACTGAAACAAATGTTCTTCCGAAATAGGATCAATGACTTCATTTTTATAGAAATTATGCTGCTGTTGTAAGATAAAAGCAAGGATTAACTGTTGTCTGAAGAAAAATTTAACGTTTAGTGTTAGATTGGCTTTTTTCTATTCGAAAAAAAAAATGGACGAATTAATTTACTTACTGTTACTACGTCTCAAATCTCAAATCCACATAATATAATCAGTTCAGTAATTACCAGCACCTTTTGATTCTTTTCAAATTGAAAGTAGCCACCTGATTTGTGTCTGTCCAGTGTTTTTCGGGAAGCTCGCAAGTTTCATTGATGAACATAATTAAAGACATCGTGACACCGTCTACTATATAAGAAGCCAGCATTATGTGTGTGCTCGTTGAGGTGATGTCTATTCCAATAAATGCTGATAATGGGACATTCGATTGCTATGTCTGCCACCCAATACCTATTTATTATATCTGATGTAAGATGGTATATAATAGCAAGCAACATTTAATGTGCAACCACTTCAGGGTGCATTAAAAAGACATATTTATAAATATCGTGTTGTCGATTTCGTTGTCGTTTGAAAAGTAACGGTCAGTTTTCAGTGATGAGCACCAGCGATATATAAATAAGGTTTTCTAGATTTCTTGAATATTGATTTCTGTTTAACTGTTTTTTACGTAATCGATATATTTTGAATCTTTACAAAGTTACGTATATAGTTATTATGATTTAAAGCAAACATTAAAGAGTTGAATATTCTCAAACAATATTGGGTTCTGCAATTATATATATTTTGAACCTTTCCTCAAATCAGGGAGACAACACTGTTTTGTCATCAGTCACCATGGCGCTTTAACCAGCTTTTTCTATTTATTAATTTATTGGTAGGTAAACTTGTCTTTAATGCGGTGTCAGACCGGAAAAATTTACGTGTGATTACGATATTATTATATATGTTATTGTGTTTCTTTCTTTTGCAAAGTGTAAATAAGACTTGGACATTTATATTGTTATATAAATTTTACTACAATACTACCATTTTTTATATAAGCAATATATATATATATAAACACCAGATTGCGAAAATCTAATAGGAGCACATCACGGCAAGTCAACCTTATTTTTTCGATAACGATAATCAGTATCAGAGTGTTGTAATTTTGGGCTTATTACGTATATTCGCCTCAATAAGACGAACATTTTGGTAGTAATTTCATTTTAATCAGAATAATATTTATCAAATTATTGCGAATTTAGTTTTGATTTTTTAGTTAAAAGCATTCAAGTTATAAAATTTTTAGAACACTTAAATTCTATTCGAACTTGCATTGACACGGAAAGAGAGCACACCAAGTGCTGATATTTAGGAGAATAATACCATATTCAGAGGCATTTTCAAAATAAATTTTTTTTAATTTTATTATATACAATCAAATGAAATGCGATAAAAAAAACCTGGCCGTCATTACTTTCGCCGGGGACTGTAGGTCCGACCTCAATCTAATAAACGAGCAATATTTTTTTTATGCTTCTGATTAAATGTACATGTATGAGATCTAATCAATCGTTAGTACACAGTGAATCTCAAGGCAACAAAAGAAGGAAATATCCGATCGAGGTTTTTTCAAATAAGTTCGGTTAATTGAGAATTGGAAATACGGTTTAACGCAGTTCCAGTTTAACCAGTATCAATTGATGGTGGTCTGACTTAATTTCTTCAGGAAAAAATTTCACTAGCGTATGACGTAACGAAAATTGGATGTGATTTTTAACGTTAAGGTGCAACATTTATTTAAATTAATATCGATATACGTATATAGATGTACTACGTATCGTAAACAAGCACAAGAAAATCTAAAAGAAAAAATATCATCAAAGAGAAATATTAATCTTAACCTGAACTTTTCAAATATATTTTGTATATCATCAAATGTTTTTGATTTAGACCCGAAACTATGTAAAGCTTTGTGTAGAAAATACGCTACAAAATATCACAGACTCGCATTGTTGAAAATTCTAATTTCTTAAAATATTTAATGTAGAAATAATGAAAGCATAGTTATTCTGTGACAAATGAAAAAATGTACACAAAGCTAAAGTTAAGATAAAAATACATATGTATTATGTGTGTATTCTGTAGGGCTGTTAATTAGTCTGATCCTCGTGAAGAATAATCGTTGGAACCGACGGTCTTATTAAATCCTTTTATATCAACTTTTATACAAAATTCTATATCTTGTGACTTCCAGTGCAATTTTGCTACAATATTTCCACCGATGAATGTGATATTTTTCAATGAAGAATTTATATTGTGTTGGTAAAGACAAAATTTTTTCATAAACATAGCTGTGTGTCTATAAAATACCACGCATACACTGAAACTCTACAATCAATCTCTAACAGGTATTTTTTTCAATACGATCCTAATCGTTTTTGTCGGGTTCAGTTCCCCAAACACCGACGGTCTTTGGACCGAATCAAGCTGAATGGACTGATAATCTATTTTAGAAAAACTTGTTTGTATTAGAAAATAGACAACTTCATGCTTACACTTATAAATTGATTGTGTTTACCTCGTTTATAAACTCTGATGTAATTGCTTTGAATCACGTAATGATTTCAGCACTAGTTTTTGTAAATTGATCCAAAACCTCCTTGCAAGATATTCAACATTGATAAATCTTTTAAAGGGATTATTCGAAATCTGTTTTAATTTCCTGGCAATCTTTTATTAGACCGTCGAAATCTTTATTTTCACTAGACCGATTCAGCTTTATAAATTCTTCACTACAATAATGAGTATTGTAATTTGAACACTTGCCGCAGTAGCGTTTATTACGTATAATCATGAAAATCTGAGCATTGCAGTACTTAATATTATCGCATTTATTATGAGTGCACAGTGAATTTCTTTATAGGGGAGCTTGTTGGTTGATAATTCGTTATAGTGAAGATTTTACCCCTACATTATAGAGAGAGTGACTGTGTATTAAATTACAGCTTATATGCTTTTATTTATAAGTTTGTAAAATAAACGAAATAATAATGATAATTATGTGTTACTGTTTGATTTTTCACTGTGTATGTAAAATTTTATATGCAATTCTCATGTTAAGAAGAGCCATAGGGCATAGAACTTCCATTTGTGATTTCTGTGTCAATATTCCATATGTATTTCGTTAGATGACATGTATTAATGTACGTACACATCGATATTAATATCGACGTTAAAAGAAGAGATCGAAGTTAATTTCGTACATTCTAAGCAAAGAAATTCTATCGCTATTTGAATACATCAAATGGGTAATGCGAATATCAGTATAACGATAACGATAACCAGATCAGTTGTATGGTATGCATCACGTGTATACGTATACGGGTAGTATCGGTATTAGAAAAAGGGTTATTTTAGATTTATTTAATTACATGTACGTACGTAGTGCAGTTCAGTTTATCGTTATGCTACATACTACATTTCGTGGTACATGTATGTGTTCATTGTACTGGTTAAGTTTTTTCCTATCTATTATTTTTCACGTATTCGAAATTTTCGATTCCATCTTTGTGTTCACTATAAAATGGTTTTATATAGCGATTATGTATTGTACTGTATTTCAATTAAAAGTTTGAAATAATTGGTGTTTGGAAGTCGATAGCTATATCGATACGTAATATATTTGTAATATTAGCATGATTTTAATTTGCGACATTCTAAAAAAATAACATCGATTTATTGTGTGTAAAAAATCAAAGGCACTTCTTTTAATGTTGTGGACGTAATGGTAATGTGTCTGTTATTTTTCATGTGAATTCTTGCGCGTAATATATGTATGAGAACGTTAACGTTAAGTTCTATCGTTATAATAGCTAAAAAATACGAGTTAAATATACAGTCAAATTTTTTGCCTAGATGACATCGAAATATATTTAACTAACGATAAACTAACGCTAACGCTAATTTTGGAAGGATTATCATGTAGGAATATTCATGTGGAATTAAGAGTAAAAATTACGGGATTAAGGATTTAATGTCATTACGGTAACAATACACTGGCTGGTGACAATCGGTACGGAAGATGGATGGAAGCAAAAGCAAAGGGAAAAACATCCGATACTATAACGAATTAATGGAATTACAACCAGATAAAGCGACTTTAATGAAATTTATCCAAAATGGACAAGCTGAGTTTATTGAACACGAAATCGATTCGGATTTAATTCAAAGCAAGTTATTTGATCCATATTATTGGATTGTAATTTAAAATTGCGTTTAACCATTTTTTTATATGATATACTTAAAGTAAATGCGGAAGGAAGAATTCCATGCGATGGTTAGCATTAAATTAACTCTAATGCTTGGTTAATTATGAATTATTATATTGTAATATTAACCGATTAATCGATTAATTAGGGGGAAATATAGTACCGGACAGCATAAACCATCAAATTTTAATAACTTTATAATCGATAATTATATAAACAAAATCCTCTTACAGATTGATAACTTTTAGTAAAACTATAATTCAGTAAGAGGATTTTTTCTTTTATTTTTGTTTTCAAAAAAATTATTAATTTAAATTTTCACTAATATAAAATAAAGAATTCTGACTGGTCAAATTAATTATGCATAAGATCTACAATTAATTTGGCGTTTTGGCGCAGTATTGGATGGTTTATGCTGTCGGGTCGGGTACGGAACAACGATATTAAAGGAGTCAACGACAACTTCCCGTATCAAAAGGCGTTGGTGATATCGTAATAAGTGCAACAGTAAATCAAACATCAACAATATGGATAAAAGCAACAAGAGTTGGCACAGATACTACACAATCAAGTAAAAAAGCACCGATAGAAGAATTCGCTGATAAAATATGACACATTTTTATCCCAGTTGTGATTGGAATAGCATTTTTTGTGTTCACAGTGTGAGTTGGAAGTGATGTTTTCATTATTTTTTGCTATTCTGTGATGATAATAGCGTGTCCTCGTGCGATGGGTCTTGCTTCACCAACTACGATCATGGTAGGCACAGGAATAGCAGCAAAACTTGTAATCTTGATAAAAGGAGAAGCGATTGAACTAACAACAAAATGGATGTGACTGGGAACTTTAACTTTCGGTAAACTAAAGTTATCGACACGAATTTTTTTTATCCTAAAGATCCATTGGAAATGTGAACAATTATCAATGCGAATTATCGGTTTGGTTGAAGTGATCAAAATACTATTGATCGAAACCTAAATACCTTATCGTAGCTTAACAACGTGACACTAGAGGCTGTTACAGAAGTGCCTGGTAAAGGACTCGAAGCAAGAGTAAAAGTTGATTTCGTACCCCCGAACTTTTTCACTGCAAATTATAATCCAGTAATTTCTGGTTCGGATTCAAACCGCGACACCTCAGTATCTTACAACGTGTTTATCGGAAATGAAAGATGGTTGCATGATCATATTGCATTTACCCGAGTCATATAACAAATCAAGAAGCGAAAAACACGCTGAGGAAATGGATGTCAAGTGGTTCTTCAATCGTGTTGGTTGGATTGAGAAAGTTATCGGAGAAGAAAGATGGATTGATATTGGCGCAGTTTGCTGTAGCGGATACACCGAGACCAGATGCAGCGAAAACTGTTGCAGCATTGAAATCATGAGGAATTGATATTTGGATTCCTGGGGATAATCCGATCACGGCGAAGGCAATTGCAGCGCAAATTGGTATTGAAATGTGTTGGCGGAAGTATCACCAGAAATGAAAACGGAAAAAGTTAAGTGGTTACAAAGGCGCGGTGCTTCGTCTGATAATGCTAGCATTGACAACAGTAACGTAAAAACAAAAACCAAATCTCCAGACTACAGTTCTGGCGACGATTCAAATACTCAAAGTCACAACAGCCTAACAACAACAACGACGCGGAATTAACGAATCACCTGCACTAGCACAATCAGATCTACCGATTTCAATAGCAAGTGCCACCGATGTTGCTATTGAATCATTGTCAAATATTCTTACGAGGTCAATTCTCTCATCACTTTTCATTCTAATCGCATTGTCAATTCCATAATACGTCGTATTCGATTGAATTTCTTGTGGCTTATCTTTATAATATATATTGGCTATACCAATCGCAGCTGGTGTTTTTTCCCGGCTTTTCGTTTTGTTTTGAGACTTGAAATCGCGGGACTAGCTGCAAGTTCGATAAATGTTGTTTAAAACATTTTAAGTGCCTGAAATTAAGCTAGTTCTCATGGTTGGGTATTGTCATATGTCCAACCATTTTAACTGGACACTTTACTTATACCATTTTGTAAGTCCAGTGACGCAGTTTTTACATGTCCAGTTAGTATAGTGCCAAACTTTGCACTGTAATAACAAATTTATAGTGATTTAGCACTATAGCATTTGAAAAATCAAAAAAGCTAATTTAATGTTATGTAATGTTTATTTCGTCTTTTATTTCTTCATTTTATTTTTGTGTGTTTTATTGAAAAAACTTTTCTCGTGTATACTAATTGAGCTTGTATACTAGCCAATAAAAGTCACTTATAAAAGTCGATGCTAACATTAACAAGGTTTGCACTATTCTTAAGGAACAAAACAATTACAGGATTATTATCTTTAATTCACCCTATAAAAAACAGAAAATTCTCTGGAAATGTTGATCAGAAAATACCAGAAAAATTAAAACCCTGTTCTTTTCCTGATTTTTTGATAAACATTTTGAGAAAGAAAAAAATATCCTGTTCTTTTCCTGAAAATATCCGGATATTTACCTGATCTTTTCCTGCGCAGTTATTTTTTCTTTTTATTTGAATTCTGGAAATTCACTGATTAAAGCCAATGATAGGAACAATTCCAATAAACCAGTTTCATAAATCAAATTTAGGAACTGGTTCCTAAATTAATTTGCTTCCGAGCTACTCAACTGAACCGCCTCGAGCTAGTCTGCCACTTGAATATAATTCTAAGCAAAATCCATTTAAGGAATTTTTCTGTATATAAAAAAACGACTATTAACTATTTGGTCAAACTAGTTCTAGTTCCATTGTTAATCAAACAATTAAAATAAATCTTATGCAATTAACTCAGTTTGAATATTAAGTTGCATAAAAATTGATCACGTTTAATACTTCTGTTAACTAGTTCGGTTTCTGGTTTATCCGGTTCGAATCAGTTTTACCCATTTCTGTGTTTATTAAACAAATTTGCTATAAATTAAATAACGTATATATAATATAATAGTTAAAATTTTGTGAAAAAAAACGTCATTATTATCAAAATTCCAGATGCGTGTACTGATCATGCAATCGTTAATGTAATTAGACGACAAATCCATTCATTGATTCATTGTCAGTATGGTGCACAACATCTAAACTCATCAATAGATTGTATGTTATAATTCTGTAAACATCTTTACTAAGAAGTAAATACAAAATTTAATCCGTGAATAGGCTTTTCTTGATCATATTCACGGATTTAATTTTGTATTTACTTCTTAGTAAAGATGCTTATAGAATTTATAAAATATTATTTAATGCACCATAGTTCACCTAGAAGTTTTACAATTTTAACAAATTTACCAAAAAATAGTTGACACCGGAAGTGTCAAAAGTACGTAAATGTAATAAATAGTAATTGATAAAAGATATTCAAATTAAATATTACGAAAATACTATTCAAATATATGGAATTACTATGGTAAAAATTAATGCAAAAATCGTGTTCTTAAGCTTTGAATATTAAAGATGGAACCGCCATTTGTCGATATACGTACATGAACAACTTTTGCAATTATTTAATTGGTTGCACAAATTACAAAATGCATGTACATGATTCCAGAATATTTCCAGTATCAGTATTGAACTTTTTAACTTCTATTTAAAGATAAAGCAATCATAATCTCACATTCTATTCTATAGAACCATAACAAGGTGCTAGTGCTAGTCCAAGAGAAAAACAAAATTTCAGATCTAGAATATTCATAACCTTTTAGGTGGCCGCATTCCATCCAACCGATTCGGATATGCATTTTATAATTTAGCAGATGAAAAAAGAAATTGTGATTTCCGGAACACGTTGAGCTATATAAACAATGCTGTGATAATAAGTCGACTTAATATTATGTCAGAAACTTAAAGAAATTGAGTGGCTAAAGAAAATGATTCATAAGAATTATTAATAGATTTATCAGATAATACTGATATTACAACCCATACTTTTCAGAATTGGTACCCTGTCACATGAAAATTATCGTTCTTACTTTTAAGTTTTGAATTGATAATTGTTAGCGTTTTTTAAGTGTACAATCTCGCTTCTGATAGCGACAATTGCTTGAAAAATCGTCAATTTATCTCACTTTGTTTTATCTTTAACTAATACTTATGTTTTTCAATTTATTTTTAACTATACTGTTCTTATATTTCTATAGCAGTCTGTGAAAATTGATCTTTGGAAACTTTAAAGTACCCCCAAAAGTAACGCCCGATTTACATGTGTAACCATTTAAAAAATCAATACTAAGCGAGGTTGAAAAAGGGAGGATTCTGACATATATAGAAACCGAAAATGCCGCTCAAATCGCGAAAATGCTTGGACGTGACCCTACAACAATACGCCGCTTTATTAACAAACACAAAAAGACGGGAAATAAATGAAAACCTACCACGTTCCGAAAGATCACCAGCTCTTAGCAACCATGAAAATCACTTACTCATATACGTCCACAACTCCGCAAATTAGTCTTAACTGCAGTTTGTCAACTGCCGCAAATGTACTGCACAACTCTGGACTGTATTGTAGCAAAGAAACCCTTTATCTCAGAAATACATGCGTATGCTCGTTTTAAGTGGGGAAATAATCATAAAAATACTTATTATTGGAAGAAAGTTGTTTTTCTGATAAGACTAGTGTGGAAATTGGGAAGCTGTCACGACAATTAAGAGTTTGGTAGCATCTAGGAGAGAAGTAATAACAACAATTATTTGGTATCCACTTTAAAAGTGATCAAAAATCCGTACTGGACTGGGGGTGTTTCGCGGGAGGATTAAAAGGACCGTTAATTTTTTGCGATGAATATAAAAAAATAAATGCAAATATTTAACTTGAAATCTCAAAAATAAATTTCAGAACGTAATCCGGAAACTACACGAATTTTCAACAGGACAACGCACCAATCCATACCGCGGGAAAAATTAAGAATTGGCTGATGGAAAATAAATCACGACTATCGACTAGCCGGCAAATTCGCCAGACTTAAATCAATCGAAAACATTTGTAAGGTGTTGAAGAACAATATTCAGAATTATGAGATCTTTCCGAGGACTGTGAATGAACTTAAAGTCGCGCTAAAAGAGGAATGGGAGAGACTTGATGTCTCTGTTTTTGAAGGATTGATCCAGTATTAAGGGAAAATGGAGGACCGACAAATATAGTTTTTTATTTAATGTATAAATTGTAGAAATAAAATAAATCGAACATGTATGGTGCATAAAATCTAAAGTCATCAAATGTTTGTATTTATAAAATGTATAAACTTCTTTACTAAGAAGTAAATACAAATTTAATCCGTGAATATGATTGAATAGGCCTTTTCTGAGCATATTCACGGATTAAATTTTGAATTTACTTCTTAGTAAAGAAGTTTATACATTTTATAAATAAAAACGTTTGATGAATCAGGCGTTACTTTTGGGGTACGTATCGGTACATGGGAAGCATCTATGTACACCCCAGTGTAACCTCAAATACAGATAAAATTCCAATATGGTTAGTGTGTTTTCGGAAAATTCTACAGTAATAAAGATTAATGTTAAAGTTGGTTTTAAGGTTAGGGTTAAGGTTAAGGTTAGATACAGAGGATAAGATTATATGTAAAATTGTCTTCCCGACATTTTTTATTAATACTCCAGACCAAAAAATTCATGCATTCTTATTGGCTGTTATTTGATCTAACCAAAACGGATTGGGGGCACTCTCGGTATGTATATGGCATTACCGTTACACGAAGTTCAAAGCCAAATGTCGATCATTTTTAAGTAAAAATTAACCATTGATTTACTTGATATTAAATAAACGCGCGTTTCTAATTTAATAGTTTCTCTAAAGATTACTATATACCAGCGAATAAACATTACATGTATTCCTAGATATTACCTTCGCCTGTGCCTGCATATTGATGCCAAAAATTATTTCTTGAAACAAACCAATCAAACAAAACGAACAAGCGATCATCGATCATCAAACGTCAAAAAAATTCACCTTATATTGATAAATAAAAATAAAGCGAAAAAGTAGACAATGTTGATGTGTCTCTTGATCTTAAATCATTATAAAATTTACTTTTTTGTTTGCGTCTATTTAAATTAATCCATTTAAAATACTTTTATTCTTTTGAATTTTTAATTTTTATACGTGGAAAAACCTTTAAAAGAAACAAACAAAAAGAGATCAAGGTTCAGTTCATTTTATTTATATATCAAAAGACTATATATAGCCTTATTTATTCTATTCAATTATTCTTATTATTCTCTTCCCTTTGAAATATAAATTTATAAACAGATGGAAAATAACAATAACACTAACAACAGGTTTACTTCTTTTAACCGAGAACAAACGCCATTGAATAAGATCCACTCTCAAATCCGAGTGGTATGGGTGCTTTCATATACTTTCAATAATAAATAGAGTTTATGCACCGAAATAAATTGGATTTTCTCATATTTTTTTAAAAGATTTTAGAATCACATGCCAAAACAACAGCAGCGATAATGGAACTTTGCAGCATGCTTCCATCCACCATCCAGTTTTCACTTGGAAGTGAAGTTAATATACCATTAATCACTGAACCATCGTCATCAAATACCATTCAGGTCGTCCATAGTACCCAAGATGATTATCGTAATAGTTACTATGATGATAGGTTTGCAAGTAAATATGAAATATCAGAAAATGAGGAAACCACAGAAAATGCTTTGATGCCTGAATGGCACTATGCGGAAGGCAGAACTCGCTCCAATATTTACCACTTGAGAAAAGATGATGACATCGGCGTGACCACTCCCTCGTTGAATGACACAGCAAAATCTAGGCATTCTACTCCTTCCAATCATCCCAGAAAAAGAGGAAGAGGTGCTAAAATTGTTGGCTCGTCCGCTTCATCACCATACACCACAACAAATCCCACCAAACGAAACTCTAGCGTCACGCGAAATCCTGAAGTTATAGCGAATCAACAACAACTTCTTAATGATTTCACTACTTGCTTTAACCGAAGAATTGCACAAGGAATGGTTTCACAAACAAAAATCGCTCAAGAGATTACTAATTTTGTGAAAGATGAAGCCTTTCACGTGCATCAAGTCGATGTGTCAAATATGTGTAAGGGAAAACTTCCGGCCAGCTTTAAACTTGACGCTGTGAGAAACTGGATTGCAGCGGAGAATGCTAAGCCAATAGTCGTCATTCAACAAGAAGAACAAATTGCACAAGATGGTGAACAGGAAACATACACTACTAATGTTACTCAAGATGATGAAATAGCAGAGAATTAAGTAAAAATATAATTACTAGATATTTTTTCAATATTATTTTTTCAATATTCTAGAAATAGTGCAATTTACATTTTTATCTATATTATCTATATATCTTCAGCAATTTCCGCGGAAAACTAGTTTATTTAAACTATGCTTAAACATTGGCAATTCAGACTGATTTTTTCTTGAAAATAAATAATAAATTATGCTATTGGATGTTTCATTTTTTTATTTATTCAGAACCTTACTAGAAAATCTTGAGAAAGTAAGAGCAACTTATAGAAAGCTTCCTTCACAATGCAATTTTATGCTTGTAATTATTTTAATGGACCGATTTTTTTATTCAAATCAATAGCAATAGCGGTTAGAATTGTGCTGTATGATGTACTTTAAAAATTATCGCTAAGCACAAACATCAGATTTAATTTTTAATAGGTCATCAAAATAGGAAAGTATCATAGATTTTTCGTTTATAAAGTACATGTAACACTTTTTGTTCTTTTGTATACGTAGTGTCTAAATACATGTACATGTAGTCTCTTTTTTAATACTATTTTAAATGAAATCCGTATCATATTGTACATGTACTGCATTTACTTCTTAGTAATGGTAAAGAATTTGTAACGTATAACACACGACATGTGTTAATAGCGTGACTTATACATGTACATGATTGGTTTGCGTTTACTTGTACATGCAAACTCTCATTGTATCTTGGATAGGTACATGTATAAATGTTATAAATTTGAAACACTTCTGTTCTACTAAATCGACGACATCGAAAAAAATGTCATCATCTAACGGAGATGACTGGATAAAAAAAGCAATAGAAGAAAATCAAATAAAATTTTTCGATTTTAGTGAATTTTCCGATAAAAAAGTTATTGGACATGGAGCGTTTGGTGAAGTTTATAGAGCAGAACTGAAAAATAAAAATTTGACTGTAGCTTTAAAGTGTCTTTATCTAAACGACGAGAAACACGCCGAAGAAACTAATAAGAAATTTATCAAAGAGGTAGCTATCACATTTAGCAAATAAATTAACAATTAAAGATTTATAAAATTCACGTTATTTTTAAATGTTCCTTAGTTGAAATTTCTTATCGAACTTAATCATAACAAAAATATAATTCGTTTTTACGGAATTACTAAAGGTAAATATATTCGTAGTTGAATTTATAATATGTATAATAAAAATTTCTCAAATAATTCGTAAATTATAATTAGATGCACAGAAGTACATGATTGTTATGAAATATGCTGATGGCGGAACTCTCGAAAATTACTTAAAAAGATCTTTTTCTAACTTAACTGGTAATGACAAGTTAAATTTAGCCAGGCAACTTGCGCAGGGATTAAAAATTATACATGATGCAGATATAATTCATCGAGATTTGGTAAGGTATAGCATGCGATGAATAAATCTTGTTAAATAACCTATACTAATTTATGATTGTTTTTATGCCAGAATCATAATAATATCCTCATACACAAGGGAAAAATTAAAATTGCAGATTTAGGCTATTCGAAACTTGCGAGCGCAATTTCAGAAACAACGTCAGAACGCGGTGTATTAAGCTATATTGATCCCGCATTCTTGAAAGATGTGGGAAACTATAAACGCAACAAAAAATCAGATATTTATAGTCTTGGTGTTTTGCTTTGGGTTATTTCTAGCGGTAATATTCCAAATTGGTATGCATTTATCACAAAAGAGAAAGAGAAAGAAAAACCAATTCACGGAACTCCTAGTAAATACGTTGAATTATATCAAGCATGTTGGGATAATTTACCTGAAAATCGACCTGATATTTATGAAGTAAATCAACAACTTAATGAATTCGAGTGGATAGAATCACCACTTCAAGGTTTGGATCCCGACGATAATATATACTATCTCTATAATTCCTGAGGGTGGAGGAAATTATTACGAAATTATTGACGAATTAGTAACTCTGCTAAATAATTTACTCGACAAAGAGGAAAATTTAGATAAAATAGGCGCTGAACTACAATCGTATTACGACTCATGCAATCAGCATCCTTTTGAAATTGAGAATTATTTAGATAAGAATGCTCAGCATAGGTTACTTTTAGGATTTCTTTATCAAACCGGATTCATAGTAGGAAAGAATGTTGAATTAGCATTGAACATTTATATAGAGTTATCAAATTATAGCAATTCCTCAGCACAATTCTTTCTAGGATATGCCTATCAAAAGGGAATCGGAACACAAAAAGATTCGAGAGAAGCATTCAAATGGTATTTGAAATCAGCAGAGGGTGGACACGCAAGAGGACAATGTAATCTTGGTCTTTGTTATCGAAGTGGAATCGGAACACGAAAAGATGAGAAAAAAGCATACGAGTGGTGTTTAAAGTCAGCGGTAGGTGGATACGCAGTTGGACAACATAATCTAGGTTTTTGTTATAGGAACGGTATAGGAACACTTAAAGATGAGCAAAAAGCATTCGAATGGTATTTAAAATCAGCAAAAGGTGGAAACGCTGTTGGTCAATATAAACTTGGTGCATGTTATCAAAATGGAATCGGAACAAAGAAAAACGAGAAAGAAGCCTTCGATTGGTATTTGACATCCGCAGAGGATGGAGACGCAAGAGGACAATATAGTCTTGGGTTATGTTATCAAAATGGAATCGGAACACATAAAAATGAGAAAGAAGCATTCGTATGGTGTTCGAAATCTGCAGAAGGTGGAGATGCAAGAGGACAGTATGGTCTGGGTGTATGTTATCAAAAAGGAATCGGTACACCTAAAAATGAGGATGAAGCATTTATGTGTTATTTTGCATCCGCAGGTGGTGGAAACGCAAGTGGACAATATAGCCTTGGTGTATGTTATCAAAATGGAATTGGAACACAGACAAACGAGAAAAAGGCATACGAGTTGTACTTGAGTTCAGCAGAGAGTGGAAACGCAAGTGGACAATATAAGCTTGGCGAATGTTATCAGAATGGTATAGGAACACAAAAAGATGAAAAAAAAAGCATTTGAGTGGTATTTAAAATCAGCGGAGGGTATGAACGCAGAGGGACAATATAAACTTGGTATATGTTATGAAGACGGAATTGGTGTTGTTAAAGATATAGGTAAAGCTAAAAAATGGTATAAAAAGGCGGTTCAAAATGGCAATGATAACGCAAAAGAAAGAATAAGTGCAATTCCTAAATCTAAATTTCGCTTTTTTTAATTTAATTTTTTTAATTGGACGCTATTTTTATATTTCGTATTGATATTTTGTTTATTTACTTAGTTTCAAAAATTCAGAATAGTTTATTAAAAGATATTTAAAGTTTAACTCATCTATGAATCTATGCGAGTCGAGCAAAATCCTCGACCCATACGCCCGTTGGTAAAATTATCAGCCTGCCTGGGGTGTAGATTTATTACTGCACGATAGATAAATTCTTGATTGTTACGTATTTGACCACAATTACCACGTGAATGTTTATCTATAATTGGTTCAAAAAAATGCTTAGATTTTAAATGAATATTAGCTATAAATATCTTTAATAAACTTTGTGTTATCGTTATTTAACGTTAACGTTAATAATCAAATACATGTAACACAAACCATCAAACTACGTACGTATATGAATTTTAAACTACATGTACAACATATCGATATCCCATCATATTAAATTTGGCAGTTGGTAAAATCACGTGTCGCATATCTAAATCATGAGACTCAGACAGAATTAAGAATTTATTCATAATTTTGACTAGGTTTTAAATTTGATGCTATTTTCTTAAAATGTATATACAAATATGTAATAATAAAAATCGCATGATTATTATGTCCCGTAATACTGCAATTATTTATTTTTTTATTTTTTAATCATTATTTACTGATGATGTCAGTAATCGCTAAATTTACTAATTAAAATTATTGATTTCGTTAAGAATGCTCTCCGGAATGCAACGACGAGAACGATATTTTTTCATTGCAAAATTAACACGACCATTTAATCCTAATTGATAAGCACTCATAAATCGAAATTCTTTGCAAGCAAGCCGTCGAATAGTTGCAATGCTTACAGAATTCAAAATATGTGAAAATGTAAAACTGTTTCTTGAAGATCTCGCAGTGTTTAATTACAATGTAGTCGTGTATATCGCTTAGCTGCACCCCAGAAACTTTCAATATAATTTAGTTCTGGATGATACTTCAGATATGACAGAAAGATATGACCATGTCGTTCAATGATTTCTTGAATTAAAGGTTTCTGAGTGGCAAAATCTTGTTCGAGTGAGAGAATACAGCTTGTACAACAGTTATCAGCGTTCGGTGTTGTTTTTTTTTTTTTGATAATTGCTACATTTGGGACGAAGATCCTTAATTCACAAATCGCATTTTTCGAGTACAATTTTGATTCTTTTTTCTGCCATCAGGTAAAATCATAGACTAAATAGTACCTTCACGCTTTTTACCATTAAGAATAAAGATGGCGTCTCAAACAGTTGCAGCTTGCGGCAGCCAATCAGAAAATTGCAACAGAGTTGTGGCAGCCAATCAGAGAATTGCGACATAGTTGCGGCTAGTTGCGGCTTCTATCACTAATTGCGAAGTCTAGTCTAATGCTTCAAGCTGGTCGAGTGTGTCAAACCAGACTGAAATATTTCAGATCAGACTAAAAATCATTATTTCTCGTTCAATATTAATTCAAATTGAAAAGAATTGTAAATATGCACAATCACATTACGAACAACTCTTCTTAAGACACAAAATACAAGTGTCTTATGGTGCATAAATCTAAAGTCATCAAACGATTGTATTTTATAAAATGTATAAAATTTTTTACTAAGGAATAAATACAAAATTCAATCCGTGAACATGATCAAAAAGGGCCTATTTTGTCATATTCACGAATTAAAATTTGAATTTACTTAGTTGAGAAGTTTAATAAATATAAACATTTGATGTTATGCATCATATGATAGCTTTTTTTCGTATACACGATGGAATATATATATATATTTTACTAGTTAATTTTATTTACTGGCATGTTTTAATACTAAAATGTATATTTGCGATGTGAAAGATATAGGTTTCAGCTCGTGACAGTTTGATAAATTATGGAACCGAAAAATCTCGATAATTTACCGAACCGTTACTGATAATTTCGGTTAGGTAACGGTTTGTAAAAAACCGAACAGATCGAAACCTTAGTTGCTAGTATTACGACTTTGGTGTTCGTTTTTTGTTATACTTGAACCGAAGCGATTGCGAAATCTACACAACGCTGCTCTTCATTCGGAAGTTTCATACCCACAATATCAATCCTGATGTCAAAGTCTATACATATATGCAACAAAATTTTCTCTGCTATCAAAAATGCTAGCTCTATCACAATTTTTGATAAAGGGTGTCAATTTGACTTTTGATCGGTGACTATTTATTTTTGTTCATCCGTTCATTTTGATTCTTGTGGTGTGGTTACTTTAAAGAGGCAGTGAGCTAATCTATAAAGACTACTTTATACTTTAATAAATAAAGTTAAACTTCGCAAAGCTTAAAAACATAGTATACAAATACAGGGGTTCATTAGCCATTTTAAGTTTGAGCTAAAATTTTAAAATGAAATGATTACAATCTTGTTCACAATTCCACTTTGTATCAATGCTTCAGAGAAAATATTTATTATAAAATATATCCATATTTTTATACGTGTACGCATATATACTGTACTGTATTTAATTATTAAAAATTTTACACGAAAAAAGCATCAGCATCAGACCCGAACATTGTTCCACTATTTGTTGGCATAATTCTTTATCATAGCTCTCAATCAATCTGGGCCAAAAACTTTTATGTACCGACGGGTCGAAAAAAAGGGCGATGCTTTATGCAACACTTTACCCATGTTTTGTTCAATAAATTACTTTCGTACACTTTTTACAGAATTTCAGAAATTAGATTAAGACAATTCATTAAATGCAGTCAAGCACAAAAAAACACTTGATATTTTTGGATAAAAATTATATTTATTAATAATTACACCAATGGCATCATTAAATCGTTAAAGATAATAAAGTAATTTCAAAGTGAATGATAATTATCATCAAAGAATTTCATTAACATAAAATCATCGTATGAGTGTATGCGTATATACATGTGTATACTGTATACGTACGTATATGGATATACATGTCATGTATATAACTACGTAATCTTAATTTCTCGTCTGAGAGTCGATCCATTTTCTCATTGCATCAAACACAAGTGTTGATCTCGGTTTAGAAACACCTCTCAAAAAACTAGAGCACGAAGACTGTGAGAACGTGACACTTTCTGAGCCCGGCAATGTTTTAATTGTGGCACAAATCTCATTGGCGAGCTCTTTTTGCGTTATGTTACGACGTCGAAATTCAGATTCTAATTCTTCTCGAAGAATCTCGATTTCAAGTGGCCAAGGCTTCGGAGTGCGAGAAAGTGTAGTAGCGTGTTTTACTGTTGAGGGTGTACTAAATTCATTTTTATTTATTGACGTTTGTAGGTTGTTGCTATTGTATGAGGTAGATGCAGAATCATCGATAGTTGTCGATTTGGATAATTCGGTGATCTGAGTGCTCTTGGAAGGCGTGGTTGGAATCTTCTCTTCAATGGCGTGCAATGACAGTATTCTCATGGACTTTGTCTGCCTGGGGACAGAGTTCATAGATACATTTGCGGAACTTGGTGTTCTCGTTCTCAAGTTATAACGGGGCGTAATTGAAGATTTCATTGGAGTTTCTGGATTTTGAATCACATGGGTTTTCATTGGAGTCTCAGTACTTATAGAGCTCTCGTTATTTTGAATTACTACAATAGGAGTTTTCATTGGTATCTCTGGATTTTGAATTACAATAGGTGTTTGTACAGAACTAAGATTCTGAGTTAAATTCGGTGTTGGATGATTTTGAATTAAACCAGGCGCTTGGACCGGACTAGGATTCTGAATCAAATTAGGAGTTTTGACTGAACTTGAACTGGGATCCCGAATCAAAGTAGGTGTTTGAACTGAGTTAGGATCCTGTATCCAATTAGGAGTTTGAGTTGTCACAGGAGTTCGTGCAATTTGTGTTCTACTAGGAACAGGAGTCTGATTTTGATCATCCACCGATTCGATTTCCATATCAAAGAATTTAACAGCTTTCGCCACAGAAACCGATGTAATTTGTGATCCAGACGAAATTCTTCGTGGTTCTTTACTGATATTATTCATAAACGAGCGTCGGCTTGTCTTTACTCTTGGAGTTTGAAAGCTGATGTCACCGTAGTATTCAGAGTCAGCCGGGGATTGAGTAGATGGTGGTATCTAGATGTTTTTAATATTTGAGTAAATGAATGAATTATTATCATAAAAAAGTTAAATTTACAATTAATTTTAAAAAAAGTACTTTGTTTTCCGATGTATTATCGCAATCTTGTAGAGTAGTTTCTAGTGCAACCTTTTGATCGGAGAAAGAGCAAGTTTGAGAATTTTCACCTCCATCGTCACTTTTGATGGTCGAAACTGAGCTATCGCTTATCGACTCGATATTTTCTTCAACCCGAATTGACTTATCGATCTTGTGTGAAAGCAGATCTTGATTTTTTGATTCGACCAAATTTTCTTCAGAAGAGCAAGGACTTTTAGCTTGAATCCCCCCTTTTTTAAGACTTTTTTTATTGTCATCAGGTTTATCTTCATCAGATGATGGGTAGCAGTTGACGATTTTTTCATTGTCATCAGGTTTCTCTCCATCAGATGATAGGTCGTAGTTGACAATTCTATTATTGTCATCAGGTTTCTTTTCATCAAATAATGGGTCGTAGTTGACTATTTTTAAATTTTCGAGTTGGCTTACAATCTGGAATTGCTCTACACCACTTTCTTTTTTTTCGCTCGACAATATTTCACTATCAGTCTTCGTTTCATTTTTCATTTTTCCATTATCTTGACTGGTGCTTACAAATTTAGCCCTTCGCTCCTTTCTATTTTTATACTTGAAGTTTCTCTTATTCTTCTTGAACTCTTTATTCTTCTTGTCTGGTGTAGAGCCATCAGAAGATGAGAAGTCTGTCGCCTCAGCATTTAATCCATCTACTCGTTTTTCAGAAGTTTCCAGTTCAGTCAAACTTTCTTCGACTTTTTGAACCTGAGTATCAGTTTCATTATTCGAGATTGAAATTTCCAACAAGTTTGATTCTTCAGCCAATTTTTTTGCTTGAGGTTCAGGTTTATCGATATCCATCATCGCATCAATTCCTTCGGACAATTCGTTAATTTCTTTATCTGACTTCGTTATTGATGTTTGCAATTGCTTTTTCTCGACCTGATTATCGATGTTTTCATCTTTGACAGCTGGATCCTTAATTTCATTGGCCATTCCCCATCGTATATGCGTAGAAAAAGATACAATTTTCTTTTCTTTATAGTCAATACTATTCTCTTTTGATTCTTTGTCAATATGAATTGGGTTATTTGTATATGTTTTTGCTTCAACCGGCGTCATCGGGTTAATTGTAGTTTTAGTTTCGACGAGAATTGGTTTAGATGTTTGTGCTTGTAATTCATCGGGAATCGGGTTAGTAATGTGTATATTTTTGGTTTTTGACTCGTAATTGTAAAGGAAGAAAGGGGAAGAGAAATGAGGATTTTCTTGTTGTGGTGTTTGACCCATAATCAGTTGACCTGACGGGGTAAAAGATGGAGTCGAATGTTGTGGTGTCTGATTTGGAAAAGCTTGGCTTGATGGCGTTTGATATTGTTGTCGAACATTGGAAGACCACGCGTCAAAATCAGCTTGAAGTTTTTCTGCTGTAGTTTGTCTTTGACCCAACAACAATTGGCTGCTAGACGGAGTTTGAGTTTGACGTTGTGACGATCCAAATTGGCCGAATGGCGTTTGCTGTTGTTGTCTTTGACCAAAAGGCGAATAGTTTGATGAAAATTGATGTGATTGGCGATGAGAAGATTTTCCGGATGGAGTTTGCTGTTTTCTTTGATTTGGAGTTTGGTTTGGTTGTCCAGGTGTTTGCGGTGTTTGAGGCAAAGATTGCCTATTCTTGTGCTTTTTGCCCATTTATGTTGTTCTTCGTGTTATTTGATGACTTTAACAACGAGGATTTTTCGTTTAATTATACGAGAAATATATAATCAGAATAATTGGAAAAGACGCGTTTGTCGTAACTTAAAGAATATTCAGAGACAGAAGAAATACAAAGGCTTACCTTTAATAACAAAATATATTTGATATATTTTATTATATCAATAAGTAAAATAGGGAAAATTTTCGCGTCAAGAGTCAAGAGGAAGAATGTTTTGTAAGCAAGAAGATTAAAATCAAAAAACACTGACAATACGCGACAATAACAAAACGCAATCCCTTGTTGGTTGGCACAGTATATATCATACAAATGATTTGTCTAGCTTAATTTATTATCAATGATGCAATATTAGCGAACCACCCTGGTTTTTGATAGAAATGATGATTAAATCGTTATACACTAACGCTAATGACGATAAATTAGATAAATTAAAGATTAACAAATGTTCTGGCAAAACTAACAATATCTATGCGGCAAAATACGAAATCGACCGGGGCAAACAAGCGAAACTGCCGGATAAACTTTTTCCGGCAAATTATCAAAAGCCACAGGCATCCTCACATTATTAATAGAGAATGCGCATGTCCTATTGGTCATATCTAAATGCACAGTAACTTTAGCATCTTTACCAAAAAGTATCAATTTGTCGCCCCGCGACTTTCTTCCATGATGCTGATAAAAACCTCCCGAACTAACAACCCACCCATACTGCTGAAGCCCAAGCGGCATCGCATAATTGACACACTCGGTAGCACATATTCCGACCCAGGCATAACAACACGTTTCCTCAACAATCACATCCCATTCGTAAACACCTTCTCCCCAAAACGCTTGTTCCGTTCTCACTGATTGATGAGTGGTGAGATCAGCAAGCGCGGAAATTATCGTTGAATTTGCGGAAATTTTCAGTTTTGAGCCACATGCACGTTTATCCCATTGTAGAAGCTTGTAGTGGTATATACCACGCTGTTGTTTTGGTGTACAATAAGCTTTTGCATGGTAATCGTAGGCGTTTAGACATATTTCATCTGATATTAGTTGGAGAGGACGAATCACGGTTGCTATGACTTTTGGCGGGATGCGGTGTAAATCGATGAGTGTAAGTAATTGAGAAATATCATCATGAACTTGAGTTCTATATTTTGCAATTGTAGGGTCTGACAAAGCATCGTTTCTGAATCCTGTTAGGATCTGATCACGAAAATAGTCAATAGTCTCAATTAATGGCAAATAATCAAAAAATGCCAAAAAAGCTTGCCGCGAAATACGGGATGCCTCCCACAAAAGAATATATCGAAACAAATCATACTCTGTAGTCAAAAAGTAACCCTCAAAATCAACCGTTCCACTCAGTAAAACTCTCAACATCTCAAATGTCATCCGATCGAACGGAATCAACCATACTTGTGTATTCACCATCACACTCCAAATTTCCCGAAAGACCTTAATTTCACAATCAATCGCCGACGAACAAGAAATCATTGATGAGAAAAATTCCACTAAGCAATCAATCTTGTTTTCTTTTTTCAAATTGTCAATTATGAATTCAGAAATCATTTTTTCTAGGTCTGGTAATAGGAAATAATTCGCTGCGTGGAATGTATCGATTGCGCTTCGGATGGTAAAGTGATTAGGATTCACGTCTCCTGTGTATAGAAATTCCAAGACAATTTTCATGGCAGATGATGTGATTTCTGGAAACTTTATGATGCTTTTGTTTGTTTCGCGCATTCCATTTAATAGCATTCGATTAAAGTAATCTGAACGCGCTGCAAGGAAAAATCTCGATGCATAAAGAATTTCTCTATCGTTATCACCATCGTTATTATTTTCACCATCCTCACCATGTCCTCCTTTTTTTCCTTTATCCTTATCATTACAATGAATTTCCAGATCGCTGTAGAATTGATTGTTTATAATGTAACGAAGGTCGTCGATGAGTGATTTATCCATTTATCGTTATTTTTACTGGAAAATTAAATGTTTTTTAAAATTCATTATCGTATTTTTTCTACCATGCTGCCAGATAACGATAACTACAAATAAATACCTTACATTTCAAATACTCATTTCAAAGTTGACAATTTTCTTATTTCTTCATGCAAATTTTTATTCTTCGTCTATTGAGAACAAAATCAATAATGGTAACATTATTACGTAGTAATGCAAGCCACGTCTATTAATGATATGTATCACGGTTTCACCAAAGTCTGATTACAGTTCGTATAATTCACCTTTTTTGTCACCAGATTTGAAGTTTACCACATTTTTAAATTCCTGATGACACAATCCTGATATTTTGTAAGTGACTTTGGTATATGTCTTAATATTTATTTTTATGATAATATATGTCCTGGAATATTAAATATGCTGATTTTATTAAGAATAAGAACAAGACAAAAATATGAAATATTTCAGAACATTTTATATTTATTAATAAGAAGAAACATATCTGAATTTAAAAATAAATTATATATTACTGATTTTATTCAAAGTGAATTAGAAAATATAATGAAATGTAACAATCAATAAATAAATTTAGATACAATAAATTTTATTTTAAATTCTAGTATATTTTCTCTTTATTAGCAAATATAAATAAATAAAAACAGCTATTTAATTATAATATAATATATAGAAAATTTATAATATAATATATAAAAATTTATAAACTTATTATTTATAAAATAAAAATGTATATTAATTTATATAAAACAATTAATATATAAATATTAAAGTGTAAGATATTATTATTTTATTAATTATTTTAAATTATATATAATAAAATAATTGTAATTTATTATAACTTATTTTTGATTAGATAAGAGTAAATTAAATATTTTTATAAATAAAAATTATTTAATATTTTTCTAATAGTTTAAAATTTATTAATAAAG